TCCTCCTCCCTCGTCGTTGTCGTCGTCGGCGTCGCCGTTCTCCCTCATTCTTCGTCGTTCGCGTCGTGGCCGTCCTCCCGTCACCCTCGTCACTCGTCGTTATCGTCGTTGTCGCCGTCGTTGTCCTCCCTCCTCCGTCGTCGGCGTCTTCGTTGGCGACGTCGTCGTCGTCGTCGTCGGCGTCGTCGTCGTCATCGGCGTCGTCATCGTCGTCGGCGTCGACGTCGTCGGCGTCGTCATCGTCGTCGTCGTCGGCGTCGGCGTCGGCGTCGTCGGTGTCGTCGTCGTTGTCGTCGTCGTCGAAGTCGTCGGAGTCGTCGTTGGTGTCGTCGTAGTCGTCGGCGTCGTCGTCGTTGTCGCTGTCGTCGTCGGCGTCGGTATCGTTGCCAAGTGCCGTTGTCGGTTTCGACGGCAACGTAACCTTACCTGACAATTTCTCCGACCTCACCGGCGCTCTTGTCTTAACTCCTCTGCGGTCTCATTCCCCCAGCATGCAGAATACATGTTCGTGGATGACGTCCTTGAACGTTCGAGCCTTGAGCACATTCGGTGGAGTACCTAGCGCCAACTTCCGTGAACGACTTTGGACGTGCGGGTGGAAAAGAGCTCTCGCCGCCCGTTCCCGGATCGACTTCATCGGGGTATTTTCGAATATCTGCGGCCAGGCCGAACATTGGCAACAACCTCCAGATTAATTTCAAACCAGGGTAGACCACAGGCCACCGATAGCCGATATTTCTTGGCAAGATTCGGGTACCAGGCCAGGGCAGCCGAAAACATCTATGAAACGTTGGGCTCCGGCCGACCAGGTGCAACATGATATCTTCCTCACAGAATACATTGCCAGTGACGTTCTAGAGTCGTCTTTGACATCCTTGGAACCGACGTTGTTGAGCATTGCAACGTCTGTGGAGCACGCTACCAGTAGTTCGATTCGGAAGTCAGCCAGAGACAACGGGAATGTTGCTTCAAGTTTGCGTAGAGATAGGGCTAGGCGCACACAGGCTCGTAACCAACAGAAGCTGACACGTCTGTGTCGCGGCCCACTTCTATATTCACACCGACGTACATGAACATTGATGGGGCTATGACTTCTGACAGGGAAAAATGGTTGGACGGAGCTTGCGATTTCGGGAAGAGCCGATTCCAGGATGATTCGAATGACCCTGTTTCTGAACAACATCGTTTGCATAAGCCCTTGGCGAAGCACTTCGATCGCAAGGTCGATGGTCTGGAACGCCCCGTGGTCGTTGAGTATTTCGACGTTTTGCATGCCAGAGCTGCTCTCCAGTCTGGTGCCGCAACTGGCCCTGATGGTGTTCCAGCGGATTTTTACAAGTCGATCCCAGAGGTTCTATTATTGCATATTTGGGAACGCTTTCAGGGCTGGGCTGAATTTCGAGATACTGGGCAATCGCCATTCTGGAAAATATTGGATTCTTCGGCATCCCGAAGGTTAAATCTGTCACTGCGTTCTCCAACATGCGTTGGGTTGGGAAGTCCCCCGAATTGCAGAAATGGTACACTCGTTGTCTCCAGCCAACCCTCTTACAACAACTGCGGCCAGCTTGCGTTCATACTGATGGTTTCAAGCGACACCGCAGGACGACCGACGTCACCGCCCTGATCCGGCAGCTGCTGCATCTTGGACACGAATGGATATGGTTCATGAACGCGTTGCGACGGCTATGGTTGATAGGGGAGCTAGCCATGCGATGGCCACCCTTTTTTTGCAAGAGTAGTCTGGTATTCAAGCTTTTCTTACATTACCTGGAGCAGGGTCTACAAAGCTGTTTCCTTTTCCGCAAAGGAGGGAAGCAGAGAGGAGTGGAGACGCCTAGCGAGTGGAAGATGCTTCTTGAGTATGCGCTTGAACCTGTAGCGCGTAGTTGGAGTCAGTTAGAGTACGGAGTACGCATCGACAGCGACACTATCATTAGCCACGCTGCGTGGGCTGACAACATAATCCGGTTCTCGCCTTCGCACGCCCAACTCCAGCGAATGGTGGTGCACCTCACTGAAGCCATAAATCGACTTGGATATCATTGGAAGCCGTCGTCGTTGGAATACCTCCGCTCCGAAGGCACATCAGAGCCCAACGAGCCGTTGCAGATCGCAGACGCCGGGGCCGACTTGCATTACAAGGAGGCGTCGCGCATCTTGGTTTTGGAGGAGTCTCTGGCTAGACGGGGTAACACCGCGACTTCAATGGATTACCGGTTTTGCCAGGCCGACGCCACGTACTACAGGCATGCTGGGATATTACGTCCACACGGCAATCTCGGAAGTCGAATTCAAGTTTGGCGTACAACCGTAGTGCCATCCGTTGTTTTCGGTGCTTGTTCGTGGCACGTCTCCCAGCACAGTTTGGCCAAAATCCGAACATGGGATGTGCAACGCTTGCGTTGCATGTTGAAGCTTCGGCCGAAACCGAACGAACGCAGAATACAGTTCAATGTCCGCAGTGTTTCCAGAATCTACAGTTTGTTTTGTATCTTTGACGTGCCGCTCGCTCATCACCAAGTTCTTCATTTAATTCATGATGCAGCCTGGGACGAGAAACACATCGTTGCGGGTCCCGGGGACGCGCCGTGACGACGAGTGCGGGAATTTAGTTATGCCAAAATGTGGTTGCTGGCGCAGGGGATATCCATTGGGCAGCGTCGCGGGCTGGGTCTGGTGCATTCCGCCCAGGGCCGGACCACGACATCTTGGGAGTCACCATTGGTCTCAGTTCACGGTGGAAGGTTGGAGGGCATTGCGGGACACATTCCCAGATCGGACGTCGTTGGCGCTCGGGGCGGCGTTCGTTCATCAACGCACTTTGCCCATTATGGCAGTTACCTCAGCATCCAACTTCACCCGGATTGCCAGTTGCATGCTCACTTGGGCAGACTCGACAAGGTGGCGCCCATATTTTTTCAGAATATGCCGTCTCCCGTCTTGCACCCAGACGACCATAATTGGCAAGATGGGCTTCTGAGATTCCGCCCAGTCGTCGATTGCAAATCGACAGCCGATCTTTTCACGGGCAAGGCAAAGTTCCAGCCAGAGGAACTCCGGCCATTATGCATCAGAGCCGGGCGGCATCTAGCTGGGTTGTACACCAAGGGATCCAGGGCTTGCACCGGCACGTCGTCGATCGTCAGATGGCGGGAACGGAAGTACAACGCTGCAGCCGACCACTTGGCGAACATGGCGTTAGATATGGCGCAATCAATTTGCCGCGAAGGTTCCTGTCACGTGGCACACGCCTACCCAAACGCCACTTGCCAGCTGCAGACCGACGGTGGCAGGCGGGCGGAAAAGGGCGCAGCGGGATGGATTTTGCAAGTCCAGACAACGCCCCCACCATCGTTCACCGAGATTGCGTGCGGCGCTGTTTTTCTGGGGCGCGTGGCCTCTGTTTCCCAAGCAGAGACGATCGCCTTGGAGACGAGTCTCACTCAGTGCATGCGCATGTTGTTTTCTTCTTCAAATTGTCAGTGAGCTACCTTGTTTCAGACGCACTGCGCGCACGCGCTGCCGGGAATAGTAGGGGTCGCCAGGGCGAAACCGCTCCGAATGAAAAAATGAAAGGATTTGCGCGCATGCTGCGCCAGGGGTAGGCACATGCAGTAATGTTGTCTTCTGTTCTGTTGCGGCACACTGCGTGCCGCCACAGTTCCAACGCCAACGCGCGCAGGGAAATGACACTGCCGCAGCACAAGGAGGCAGACGGGACTTCTAATCGCCATAGGGTCCCGCCCAAGGTCTGCACACCAGATCCCGTGGCATGGTTCGCGGTCGACGCTTGTATTTTTCCATGTTTTGTCGGACTGAGTCGTTTGGCCGTTTGGTATTGGCACCAGTTCCATCGTTTTCATTGTGTGGGTTGTCGTGTTCGTGTGGCCAGCGGCGCATTTAGAATGCAATGAATATATGGCTTGCCGCCCTGGTCATGCCAAAGTTGCACGCCCAGCCGTATTTCCACTGTTGTTCAATCGGTCGGGACAGAAAGGTGCGGGCATGGGCGCGCATCAAGCCTTACCGAGTTTTTAGGCATCGTTGTGAATGTGTGGGTCGGTTTTGGAGGGTATCGGCTGGAACACGCAACGGCACCAGAAACGACAGTATGACCGTGGACAAGATCCCACTTCGTGCAATCAGTGAATGTTGGCATATTCGTTGCCAAGGCAGCAGTTGCACTTGAGGGGTCTAGCTTGAGCTTCAGGGAAATGGACTGCTGTTGCCTCAGGGCCGCCGATGCGCAGCGCGCACGCACGCACGCACGCACGCACACACACACACACAGACACACACACGCTGTCAAGGTTCCGTCTACGCGGCGCTCCACACAGAGGGTTCCACACACATAGGGATTTCCACACGCACGCACTCACCGGGCTCCACACACATGATTAGGGTTCTCCGTGCAGAATATGTATACACACACGCGCGCAACACTCACGCAACGTACACAGTGTTCCTTTGGCGGGCCGACAGACTGCAGTCGACGGCATTACATCTAGCAAAACGGCATGCGCACGAGCTGAATTACCCACTGGATGGCAAACACACAGGGTTGCACACAAAGGCAGGTTACAAACGCACACACACACATACACACACACACACGCGGGGGGGGGGTCGCACCCGTACATACTTCCAACAAGAGTGGTTCCACAGATGAGTTTCCATACACGCGCACACGCATACACGCACGCACGCACGCATACGCATACGCATACGCACACACACACACACACAGTTGCAATATTCAAACGTTTGAGATCCAGGCATTGGCATTGTGCCCTTCATGTGGCCAGTCCGCCTGGCATGCATCTGCGACGACTCTCGCCACTGTGCCTAGCACCATGTGACGTCGTCGCTCCGTCTCCGCTCGGCTCCTGTGCTGTTGCGTCTTGCTCTCTCCTTTGGCGTCGTCGGTCCCGCGCCCTCCCTCTCCCCAAGGCTGAAAACGTCCTCTGCGCTGGGTTTCGCCCGCGGCGCCCGCCACCAGCACAGCAGGGCTCCCTTGGGGCAGCGCCCCTCGGGCGGCGTGCGTCAGCCCCCGCCGCCCCCCCCGGCTGCCCGAAGGGGCTGGCGGAAGGCGGCCTCGTGCAGGCCACGCGAGGGGCGGGGGTGGAGGGAAGATTGTTTTACGTGTCTTCTGGCGCGTGACGGTCGTTACCCGGCCCCCCCCATTCGGGTAATGGCAAAGACCGTACGTAGGGCAACGGTGACGGCAATGGTAAAGAAGACAAGCTAACAGAAAGTAGCGATGGTATTGGGGGGTGGCCTGGACCCCTCCACATGTTAGTGCTCTCGCGCACATCGTTGCGGTCGCAGCGCATCCCCCCCCCCTCCCCGCCCCGACGTACCCCACCCCGTCCAAGCGGTACCGTTTCCCACCCCCCCTCCCCCCCCAGGCAACCGGTACCGTTTCCCGCCCCCATGCCCCCCCAGGCAATGATCGTCCTTGGAAGGGGAATGACGCGAGGGGGGGCGGCTTTGCAAGAAGGCGGAGGGGCTTCCTGGAAGGCAGGGTCCCCTTTTTGGAAGGGCATGCCCGTTGTTAAGAAGGCTCCTTGGAGACCACCAGGCCCTTCTAGGCAGGCCCCTGCCTGCTGAGAAGCCCCTCCGCCGTCTCGGAATTCCCGCCCCCCTCCCCGGGCAACCAGGGCAACAATCGAGGAGCTCCCGCCAAAGGCACCAAGCAGAACCCGAGCAAGCATAAGCACCCCGCCGAGAGTCCCCGAGCGGCACATGCAAGGGCACGACGCGACGCGGAACAGTTTACGCAGGAAGTTGCACCGTAGATGGCGCAATACATTGCGCCGTTCTTTGACATCCTCTCGTTGTGAAAGGCACGACGGAGGATGTTAGTCAATTTCTGGTTTCTGGGGCCCTCGCCGGGCCCCTGGGCCTTCAAACGTGACTCTGGGTGCAAAGTTGTGTCCGCCGCGTCGCCTTGCGCCACAGGTTGCGACATAGCTTCCGCCAGACCTTTCGCATCACGGAATCACGAGTTGGTCCGCCTTGCCCCCTCATTCCACAAGTTGCGCCACGGGTTGCGCCACAGGGTTTCCAAGGCACCCCACGCACCACGAAATCACAAGCTATTGCGCTCTGTCCCTTCGCGCCACAGGTTGCGCCAGGTACCCCGCACCACGCAGTCACGAGTAGGTCCTCCTGTTTCCCCCTCCCCCTTCCCCCCCCGTAGCACTTCAAAAATCCTTGCAGCAGTCTTCGTTCAGAGGAAATGATGTGGTGTTGCCTTGAGACGGTCTGCTCAATTGATGTTTCGGCCCCATATGAGGGGGAAGGAGAGGGGAAAAACGGGGATGGGAAAGCGGCGTGGAGGCGGGAATGGGATAGAACAGTTTGGGAAAGAAAGATGATGAGGATGCTAAGTGTTGCCTCCGCCTTGGACTCTGACCCCTGGAGGTCCCTGTTAGCTTCTCGAAGCTTCCTGAGGCCAGAAACAACGTTTAACTATAACGGAAATGTCAAAGCATGACCTACTGGATTTTCAACGGCCGACTGTAAACTCTAGCGAGGGAGGAGGAGGAGGAGCAGGAGGAGGAGAACGGGGAAGAGGGAGGGGGAAGGAGGAGGGGGAAGGGGGAGGGGCAGGGCGACGATTGTCAGAAGGAGGACGAGGAAGAGGAGGAGAAGGAGGAGGAGGAGGAAATGTACGAGGCGGAGGAGGAGGAAGCAGCGGAGGAGCAGGAGGAGGAGGAGGAGGAGAAGGGACAGGTGGGAGGAGGAGGAGGAGGAGGAGGAGGCGGAGGAGGAGAAGAGGGAGGGGGGAAGGAGGAGGAAGAGGAGGAGGAGGAGGAGAAAGGGAGGGAGGAGGAGGAGGCGAAGAGGGAGGGGAGAAGAAAGAGGAGAAGGATGAGGAGGCGGGAGGGAGGGAGGGAGGGAGGGAGGGAGTGAGGGATGAGGAGGAGGAGGAGGTGGAGGCTAGGGCAGCGTCTTCCTGGAGACAAGAGCCAGGAGGAACCGGAGGAGGAGCTTCTGGAGCGCCGAGCTCGTCGCGGTCGATTTGCACGTTCGTCACGGAGCCGTCCATTTTGCAGGTGGCGCACGCCAGAGGGCGTGCGTGGTTGTGCCGTGTTGCGCACGTCGAGGAGGAAGAGGAGGACGGGCAGTGGGGGGTAAGGGTGATCAAGGCTTTGTCGGCGGGTAGGCTGCCGCCAGGTTTCTGTGCTTGGCCAGATGAGGAGGGGGCAGTCACCAGGACACACAGGGGGTCATCGATAGTGCAGTGTTCGAATCGTTATCGCTCGCCGTGCCTAATCACAGGAGCTGCGGTAGGACCCCGAAGAAGAGGAGGAGGAGGAGGAGGAGGAGTTTTGCTAGAGACCGTTGTCAACCAACCTCCGAGACGGGCCCAGGACAGACAGGAAGGGAAATGGGAAACCCGCAAACGGCGGGGAGCCCAGCTAGGCTCGAAAACTAGATCTCTGGCGGCGGACCCCACCCTTGAACTCCAGCTCGAGGGGGCAGGCACTT